TACTTTTTTGCCCCACTGTACATTTCTAATTTACTGTAATTCAAGGAAGCACAGATTATTTTTCAAACTTTAGAGCTTGCTAAATAATCAAGGTTCCAAGAAAAGGACAAGGAAAAAAAAGGATCATTGCATCTGGCCATTCATTCTCTCTTACACACACACACACGCACACACAATTATTTTTATTTGAACAAACATTCACATCAGACTTTTCAGCTCAGAAAAGAATTGAGTTAATTTTTTGGAATGCAAGGCATCTGGGATTTGATGCAATTGGAACACAAAAAATTTCATGTGACATTTCATTAGAAACACTCTTTTTGGTATGACCTTCAGAAAATAGTATACTTCTTCACAATGATTATTCTACTAAATCAGAACTACTAAGTTCTGATATTCTTTAATACAATTTAAAAACAAAATGAAATACTCTATAAAAAAAAGATTCTTGCTCTCTTGGCATACAAGTTCACTATACAGGTAGTCCTCGCTTAACAACCATTCGTTTAGCATCTGTTTGAAGTTACAATGGCACTGAAAAAAACTACTTATGACTGGCCCTCACACTTACAACCATTGCAGTGCCCCCACAGTCATGTGATTGCAATCTGGACACTTGGCAACTAGCTCACACTTATGACGGTTGCAGCATCCTGGGGTCACATGATTGCCATTTGAGACCTTCCCAGCTGGCTTCTGGCAAGCAAACTCAATGGGGAACCACAGTGATTCACTTAACAACCACCACAAAAAATGTTGTAAAATTGGGTGCGGACACATGATGGTTTGCTTAATGACCACTCCATTTAATAACAAATTTTCCTGTCCCTATTGTGGTCATTAAGCGAGGACTACCTGTATGGAAGAAGAGATAAAATATTCCCCTTTTTCCCAAGATCAGGAAATCTCATATTTTCAGCAAACTATGATAATTAGATGGAGCAACAATAAGCTACTGGTGGAAATCAGTTTGCTGTGCTCAAGACAACTGTAATGGAAGGATTAGAGAGCAAGGTGTCAGAAAGTGAACTAAGAGTTTTACTTGCTATCGTCAAATAAGACTATATTAGCAAGGGAAAAACCTTATCTTCACCTTGATACTAATTAAGTACAGAGCAATGTACCAACTTGATTATACCATAACAATTTATGTATACACACACACACACACACACACACACACACACACCAATTAACATTGTTAAAATAGTAGTAAGTAATCCCTCACTTAAACTAACTTTCAAAAGCTTTCAGACAACATGGATAAACCAACTGATAAGCTGAGCAGTAGTTTTGTCAACAGGACAAATTGGAAGGAACTGAAACCTTGAATCAGTAGTATGATGTAGCAAATAAAAAGGCTAATGCAAATGTAAGCTGCTCCTTCACACCTCAGTGAGATGGCTGGCTGGTTGCAAGAAACCAGTCATCAAATCCCATCTCAGCCCACCAACAGACAGCAGCAAGCAGCAGCAGAGTCTGAACCAGTTTTGAAACAGGAAAGTACATTGGAGATTAAGGATACAGAAGGAAATTCAAGTTTGCCCTGCTGGCATAACTACTTCACCTTCTTTCCTTTGAGGCCAATTGTAGGAAATAAGAATATCATGTCAACAATAGGGAGAGAGAAGGAAATAGCAAGTAGCTCAGAGATTGGGCCATTAGCTGAATATGACCCTAGAAGGTCCTGAGAAACCAGAAATTAGAGGAGTCCGGTGGTTCAAAGTTTTTGCCTTTCTAGAACCCTGAAACTAGAGCTTAGCTGCATATTATTGTGATTCGTAAAACAGTCAATCTGTTGATGGTTTAGTGTTCTGTTTGTTTAATCTCTATCATACAACTGTTTCTGTTGGAACAGGGAAAACTGAAATATCTTGAAGTGCTGGCTCATGGCTCATCCTTCTGTGCCACACATGAAGACACAGAACCAGCAACTTTAGTAGAAATAATTAATTTGTTGGGAGGAGGAGTATTTTTTCTTTTGAAGTTATAGCCCTAGAGTAATTTAAATGTGTTTTTGGCAGGGGCAGGCAGGAGCAGGCTGCTTGAAATGATGCACAAAATTCATAATAAAATTGCAGTTCAAGATTTTAACACATTGCTGATGATCCAGTTTGTTGAGCAGTACTGTAATAAAAAGATTGAGATTTTTACAGTAAATCAACAAATCTGAAGCTTGTTTGGGATGCTTTTAAAGCTTTTATACAGGATAGGACTATAGCAGTACTTTATGGAAGAAGAAAAATAAAAAAATCCTATGGTATAATCTGGAAAGGAACATTGAGGAAACCCTGAATGTGTATGGAAGAAATCATACTTAATGTCTTTAGGTGGCTAAGCTGGAACTTGATCAATTACACGCTTTTGAAATGGGAGACTCATTAAAGTGTATTAAGGAAACTTATTGGGAATGGAGAACCCCTCCCGCCCAAAATTGTTTATTGCATAAGTCATGCAGGTGGTAGAATTCATTTTTCTGGTTGAAGAATTTAGATTACTGTGATGTTTTAGAACAATATAAACATACCATGCCTTCTTACCTTCAGATGATAAGGATCTTATAATGCTACAGATGCCTGTTCCCCCTGATTTTATTAATAATACAAAACATAGCATGCAATTGTCTTTAGATAAAAGAATCATACTCACCCTCTCCTGACCTGCTGTGTCCCAGATAAGAAATTTATGAAGCTCATTCCCACAAGGGACTGTTTTAGTCATAAAAGAAGCTCTAAAATTTGCAAGAAGAGTTGCACATTGTTTAAGCAGAATTTACATCAAATCATCACCAAATGTATGTATGTGTCAGTTAAGAAAACAATATTTCTCAGGAATCTAATCTTCACAAAGGAGAAAACAAAGCATTTCTTCTTAATATTTTTTGGAATTGCAAAGAGTTTATAGGTATTTCAGGCAATGTAAAAATCGAACTAAACATAATGATGTATATATGTGCACAGCACTATTTTTAATTTGAAAAATAGGGTATTTTATTTTTGCCAGAAAGAATTCACTGTGGAGTCTTTGGGGTTCTCTGAGCTTGGTTGTTTTCCTGCAAATGTTTCACTACCTGGCTAGGGAACATCTTCAGTGCTAGAAGGGCGTGGGGTTTGCTCTCTGTTTATATACAGAGGCTTGTCCTGCCTGTGTTGGTGTTTCTTTTTTACTGGTAGTTCCTTGATTAGGGTATTGTTTACTGCTTGATTGTATGTCTGGTGATAA